ATCACTTCAATACACAATGGGGATAATACCTCATGCAAATTATTAACAGACAACTGTTCTCCTTCTAAAAACAAACCTACTCATTACAAAGTAGTAGTGTACATTAGTATCTAGTCAACAAGGCAATGAATCACATAGGTATTTCAAAAAATTTATAACACTGGACAACGCAGACCGGCAATAAGACGTGGGCGAACGAACAAATGTAAAAAAATTAAATAAATTTGAACCTATATCCAAAGTCTTCCGACTGAAAGATGAGGGTGTTCAATCGACCCGACTAAAATTTCCTGCAACTACTCTTATCTACAAACATTCTATTTTTCCCAAACTATGCTTCTATCTTGACAGAAGAGTTGAGGAGCTTTTTAGGTGGTAAAACCCCTTCAGATACAGTTGGCTTTACGTCTTTCGGCATTCCAACTGTTACATTCCTCCTTTCAAGCTTTCCAAAGGGCTGAACTTTACTACGTTTTTCATCAACAGCCTTAATAACTAAATCTTGCTCCTCTTTACGGTTCGGTTTCGCTGGTTCAGGAACCGTATTTCCTGGCAAAGCTCGCTTTGCTTCGACTTTTGGTGCGTACTGAAAGTTGTTTTGATTCTCCAGAATAACATCAGTCTTTTTTTCTCCGTCCACTATAGACAAATTCTTCGCTTTCTTCGCTTCACTGTTACGCCCTATCGTCGCTGTATTTCCAAAGTCGTTCTTAACGCCATCCTTCTGGCCAACGCCTTTTTCTGCTTCAACATTTTTGACCAATTCGTTTTTCACATTATTGCCCTGCGCGACCAATCCTTCAGTGCCGCCATCGGCAACGCTTTTCTTGATTTTTTCCTTCTCAGCATTTTCATGCATCTCATGATGCTTATTCAGTTGCTCGACCAATGCCTGCTGCTCTTTTAAAATTTTACCTTGCTCCTTTTGTTGTTTTCTAATTTCAGCTAACAACTTCTTCGCATCCCCCAGAACAATTTCCTTTTTTTCTTTTATCGACAGCTCCGGATCATTCAGGTCCAATTTCTGTAAAAACCATCATACAGCAAAAAGCAACCAAAATCTAGACCACATAATCATAAGAGCTATACCCTAAAATACAAGTAATAACGATTACCTTTGAACTACCATTTAATTTCTCAGTGGCTTCAAGTTTGAGGAGCTCAGCACTTTCTGCCGCCTTCATCAAATCCTCTGGTTCTACAGGGGCAGAGGCTAAAAGGAAGAACAACGCTTCGCAAAATAAAAAACAATTATCATGCATGGTAACATGAAAAGTAGAAGAAGTCGAAAATGTGACGGAAAAAATGCACACCAATTTGCTTTGGCTGTATAACATCTACCACAGTAGCTTGCTGCTCAGTGTGAAGAACTGCCCACGTGCTGCATACTAGCATAAACATTCCAGCTAACGCGGCCAACTTAAATATTCATACACATAAGTTTTCTATATGAAACCCTGTAAGTGTGGTATGAATGAACTCCAAATAATCCCCTTGCGTTTATATTAGCAAAACAGCCTGGAAATGTCTTCAGCTTAAGCTTTGTGCCGCTCTGCAGTAATGACGCTTGGATAATTAAAAAAATAAACCCTACAAAAACGAAAAAAACTCAAATCCCACGCAGTAAACTGCAAAACTACAGTAATCCTTTAAGTATAAACAATTAGTAGTGAAACAGACTCAGACGCAGCCATATATGTAAACATTCTTTATTTCCTTTGTGAAATCATATTACACTACTCTAAAATGAATTACCAGAAATTTAATTTTCAGCCCACGGCTAGATGTTATTCTTGCAGCAAACAAAATCACATAAGTACGTGGACCAGAAAAAGTTATTGATAAAGACCAGGCAATTCTAGGTACTTTAATAATTACAGAAGGATAAAAACTAAGAGGAGAAGGGGAATGAGAAAAAATCTGTATTAACTCAGGACCTTTCGTAAGATTATCAGCTAACAGTTCTGAAAATTTAAAAAAAAAAAGGCAGCTGCACCAACCTTCGCACCTCGTAAAAGCCATTTATTCCTTCTCGATGTATCACAGACTTGTATAAACAGGAATGAAGGGATTATTATTGTAACGGTAGATCCAATTAGCGCACCTGTCAAGCCAAGTATAAATTCAACTGAAAATTCTATGATTAAGTAACCGCAACCGGTTTCATTTCTGATCAAGATTTGAGAGTCAGTAAAATGCAAATTTAGAACTGCGAGACTATTTATGGTAAATACAAAAAGTTTTCCGTCAAGCACAAGAAAAATTAGACAGTTCTTTATTTTTCCAAGAAAGTAAATATCAAAAAAAGAAAACGAAGTTTACTTACCATTTGGAATAAAGACAGCGACAAAGAATGTTAGGAACAACAAAGTGATTGTTATTCCCAGAAATGCAGAAGAAGGCATAGGGGCAGCTGAATATTCAGAATCCTAAAAACGATGGATGAAATAACCTGCAAATACTTACATTCTCAAAAAACAAAGAATTAAGTCACGTTTGGCTTTAAACGACTAATGTTAGAATAAGGTAACAAAAAATAATTCAGTTTCCCCAAAAAATGGTTCAAAACTGACCAGAAAAATGAAATTTTAGACTAAAAAAAAAAAAAGAATAAAAGTTACTTTTCGGAAAAAATTATAGCAGGTACTTCGGCACGGGAACAACATTAACGGAACACTGACAGCAATAGACAGCATAAATCCAATCTTCAGAATTTGTGTTAGAATAGTAGATTGAAGATATAGTAAAATATCGCCATGTAATGATATATCGTGAAACGCCACATAACCAAACAGTCCCACTGCAGCGTATATACCACTGCAAATATTAACGGCACCGGAAACAATCGTATCAACCTAAAGCTCACAGGGTAGTAAAAACAAATAACATGGGAAAATCAGTAACAACATTAGATAAACACAAATAAGTTGATTATTTTAATTCTTAAAACAAGGCTACAACTTAAATGCAAAAGAAAAAATGTTACTTTTCTAGAGCCAGAATCCTTGACACAACCTGCAATATCAAAAAGCTGTGTTTGGCATGACAAAGCCATAGCGATGATTGGTAAGCTAAAGAAATTTACAATTAATGATCAGCAAAAATTATTTTGAAGTGAACTACACAATCTGTTCAATAAAAATCTAAGCAATTTCAAACACCTTGTCAAAATTCCCTCTTGACGCCACCAGTAAACATCTAAAGCCCATTTACCGTCGAAAAGTCTAGGAATTGATTCAAAGAGCATCCGCATCACAAAAATGCAATAGAATACGACAGTCACATAGCTTACAACCGATAAGCTATCAACATTCCGCACAGTAGAAAGTGGCAAAATGATGAATAACAGAACAAACACCTAAAACCCTCTTTCAAAAAAAAAAAAAAAAAACCAAAGAGCCAAAGGGGTAAATCAAACTAAAATTTAATAAGTGCTTGCCATCACTAATACGCGAAGCCTCTGGGTTGGAGCTTGAAGTTGAAGATATTCTGCAAGAGTTTGTGGTCCAACATCACCAATAACAACCATGAATGAAATGCAAGAAGACATCAGGTAAAGCAGCATGAGGACCTAAAATAATATACGGGAGTAACTTTCTGATCCTCAAAGATAATAAATGTCGTCATAAACTTTGAGATTCACAATAAGAAGGTGCACAAAAGATTCCTATTACTAGTGCTGACCTCAACAAGCCTTTGTCCACCTGACCCAAGAGTTTCACGAGCAAATGCTGGATAACTGCGCGCTCTAAAAAAGTCTTAAAGGTTAGATGTAAAGGTATAAACAGAATGATACAAATTTTCTTCATCTGATTGTACACACTTATTTAAGATTGAACAAAAGAAAAAATGTGGTTACTCAAACTCTGCAACACTTATTTCTGCAACGTAAAAACTTCAAATTTCGAATAAACCATTACTAGAAGCAAGAGGGTGAAAGAGAATGCAAATAACCTTTTCATGACCGCACCTTTGTAGAGTATGTGACATGTTAACTTAGAAAGGTAAGAACACAGACCAATCAAAACTGTACCCAGTAATATGCCGCACTAAAATATCACTTTTTTTTAAAAGAATTTAAATTTCATTAGAAAAACAAAAATTGACCTGCTAAACGATTATTTGAGTAAACCTGCCTGCTGTAAACAGTAGGGCATCGCCAAAACGCTAACTCCGACAATACAATTTGTCAGGTTAAAAACATGAGGCCAATGATTGAAGTCGGAACCAAGTGCCGATTTTGGGCTCCAACCATTTTTCGACATATCATCGTCAAGCTGGCGTGAAGAACTGTCGCTATCGTCGACCAACAGATGCTCGTGATAATCATCAGTACCTCGTCTCATAGCACTACAGTCAAAAACAAAACAAAACAAAAAAAAGAGCATAACAAAATAACACTAAATATTTACTGAAGCTATTCCGACATCATTAAAATTCTATTTCCGTTGATGCACAAAACCATAAACATGGTGGTACACAATGCTCTACAGCAAAGATCATCAGAAAAAGAAAAAAAACGTGAAACAAAAACTAAAAAAAAAAAAAACACTGGTATTTGACTGTCCGTGTGTATCTGAAAATGAAAATTAACTGCAAATATTCCAGTCGTTCTAAAAAAAAACTAAACAATAAAAAGCTTTATTTTCTTCAGCAGCTAATAAATTACTGAAGTGAAAAGAGACAAGCTACCTCTTCAGTAGCTATACTGAACGTTTGACAGGATGACATGACAAAAAACTGAGCATAAAATAGTCGATAAAAAGCAATTAAATTACTAGGCGGGCAGCCGTTAGATACAAAAAAAAAAAGTCAATCGAGTAAACTTTTGCCAACTCATAAAAATATCACTATATTCCACAAATCAATTTATCGACTGTAACAACCAGTAATTTTAGTGATTCTGATAACATTGAGCTACGACAGTTAAGCGTACAACAGCTACTGTAATGGATTCCAAAAAAAAAAAGAAAACGACTGAAGCAGAAGATAAAAAGAAACGAAGAAAAAACCAGAATAAATAATGAACAGCGAATTTCAGTGGTTAAAAAAAACCTTGATTCCCAGTGGATGACTGGTGGGATTAATTTATGCACTGGCGCCACTGTCGGATCCGCCGATTCTGTCACTACTGACTTCCTCATCATCGACTGCTGACAGAGGAGATGTGAAGTTCGGTCGCCGTGCTGACGAACTGTTGTGCTGTTCGATTGTCGTCTATCCGAATCGGTGGTTATTTGCCCGTTGTTGTCGTAATTCTCTTTTCGTTTTCTTTCCCCAACCTTTCCTTTAATTTACTGCTGTTTTTAATTTAAGACTGCCAAATTTAACAGCGCTATAATTTATTATCAATGTTGGACATTGGACAGGTCGAATGATTTGTGGTGTCAGTTGATCAAACATCTGAAATTAACACCTTATTGCTAATTAGCATACTAACATAAACAATAGCACATACAGTTATTTATTGATTACTCATAGATTGCAAGCAAGAGCAAAGTGGTAATAAATGAAATTAAGACTGTTCAAAGGACATGAGAAAAGGGGAGGGAGGTCAAAAAAAGAAAAAAAATAATAAAACAACTGTCAGGAATATTACGGAATCCTGTTTATAAGGGAAAAGGATAGAAGAGGGGAAAAAATAACCTGAAATCAGCTACGGGACTTTTTTCTTTTTTTCAACAGTAGCAGGAGTTGCAGAAGAGAATAATAATCAGAAAAGTAGTTTTTGTTTTGTCCAAACTCTCGACTTTAGTAATACCACAAATAAGTATTGAAAACCAGTCTAAAAACACAGAATTTCTGTTTTTTTTGGATCACATTTAACTGTCCATTGCTAAGATAAGGTTGGATGCAAAAGAGAGCGGTGTTTAAACAGCTTATCTTCGTATACAGGATCCTGTCCAAATTTTTTAACAGAAATTTGACACCAATAATCATACTTTATTAAATTAAAAAATCTAGTGTATTTTCTAGATGTGCACAAATAATTGTTGCGAGAGATGAAGAGGAGCGGAATAAAAAAGATTAATTCCATAACAAAAGATCAGTTTAAAAAAAAGGTATATTTAAAGCGAAAGGGAACAGCGAGGAAAAAATAGACCAAAATTTACTCATGAATCAAAAAGATACCGATTTGTTTGATGCAAGTTTTATTCCTTTTCTTTCTTCTTGCAGCACTAATACCTGATGATTGCGAACAATCAATGGAATGTTTAAGAAGGAAGCAAG